TAATTATGCTATTTCGCGATACTTAACCAACTTAACGAATGATAAAACAGCAGAATATAATCAAGAAAACGTAACGAATCTTTGTTTACACTCCAATTAACCCGCAAAAATTGAATCGATAACTTTGGCAATGATAAATGAACTTCGATTTGATAGATTGCGAACGGATCGAATTGAATCGCACCAATTTAACTTATCCATTACTCCTAAAGCTTTTTTGAAATTTGTTTTAACCTTTAGAAATTGTATTAAATTGAGTTCACAAATGTTACTAGTGCTTTTCATTTTATTCGTTTCGTGTATGATATAAAAAATGTAAAATTATCATTTGATTGTTCTGTTCCACAACGGAAAGTATATTTCGTGAATTAGACTTTTGAAAAAATTCAAGATTTAAATGAATGGAATAAAATTTTTGAAACTTGAATGACTGGAAATTAAATCAAAGCAAGGAATGTGATTTAAATTTATTCGAACCACTTTTCGTCTTACCAAATACTTTTTGGTAACCTCATTAATAATCACGTTAATCATTACTTAATCAATAACATCCTTGTTTTTTTCATCCTTTTTGTTAAAAGCAACTCAATTTAAATTAGAAAGATTTTGAGATGATGTAATAAATACCTCAGGACAATGCTTACAATTTATCCAAAGCAACCAACACTAAACAAAAAGTGTGAATTTTAAAATAAATTTTTTTAAGAAAAAAATTTGATTTAAAAATAGAATTCACGTCGAATTATGCAATCTCAGTTCAGATTTAGGTGATTAAATCGGAAATTCTTCCAATTTTACAATATTGATGATGCAATTCACAGCTGCTCAGTAAAAAAAAGAAGCTCATTGCTGTTTTCTTTAAATTAAAATTGTGAATTCCGAGCAATTTATTAGGATAAATTTAGCAGTATGGAGGAGAAAATTTATCACCACCACCGCTCCAATTGCAACCGTTTCGTTCACTTTGCTAACTTCTTCTGATTATTACATTTAGGGCTGAGCTGAAATGTGTGATCTTTGCAGTTGTTTAATTACCAATCTTTCTGGTAACACTGATATCATCAATATTTCCGGGATATTTTTTGAAAGAAAAATGACTGATCATTTATTTGGTAGCACTATCAATTAGTTAAAAAAAATGCGAAAAAGTCAATCGACAAGTTTAAAATTTCAAATTTTGTTTAACGATATTCTGAAAATTTTCAAGAATTTTATTCAAATCTCATATCTTCTGCGCAAACAATTCAAGAGCAAAAAGTGATTTGCAGCATGAAACTTTTTGTGATTAATCTGTCGTACCATAAATATATTTGAACAAATCATGAAATGTTGTTCAATATTTCAATAAAAATATTTTCTCGGTTTAATGATATTATTCAAATGAGACTTTTCACTTGAAGCAGTAATGCATCTTTTAGGCTTGCTCAAACTTTCGAATAAATAACTGACACATATTTATTGAGCTACTAAACCTGTTGACATCATGCAATTGTCATAAGTATAGGATTTGAGTAAATAATTTAATCAATAACTCCAATGGACAAATAAATTTAAATAATAAGTTGAATGGATAAATAATAACTTGAATCTTCCAATAAAAAAAAAAAACGATTCGTTCTTCGAAAGAAATACAATAATGGAAATGATTTCAAGCATAGATTGTAACGTTTTTTTAAATAAATTAATCAGAAATAAAAACACAGATATATAAAAAGTAGAATAAAATAATAGTTTAACTTGGAATAATTACTTAATTAATTAATGGTTCTTTTTCTATAAGAGTACTATACACACACACACACATATATATATATATAAATCTCGAGAATTATGGAGAAATAGAGAAGAGAGAAATATGAATGATTGAAATGCACTTCAAAAAGTCTCATTGAACGAATGAATGAATGAATGATATTTGAATTTCATTTAAACTTTCGCTATAATTTATTAAAAGTATGCAATATAATTTGATGATTGTAAGATTGGCATGCTAATGAAGAAATTAGTGGAGAGGAAGCGATGAGAAATTTCAATCTTTTATTATTTCATCACTTTTTTTTTCTAACTTTACTACAAAATGTTTCTTTCCTTCTTTTTTTTTTACACTTTTTAATATGAAATTTTAATACATTCCTTATAATTTTAATCTCTTTTACTGATTATTTTAACTATTTATTGATTGATTTTGATTCATTTTTGATTTTTACCATTTCTAGTTCTTGCTTAATTTAAATTTTTGTTTTCAATTTTATTTTTCCGCATTTTTTAACTCTGCTTCTTTTATAATTTCAATCAAATTGTAACATTGCATTAAATCATTTCAATATTCTCCAAATGAGTTGTTCGCAAGAGAAAGTGAAATGACGAATTTCATAATGGCTCAAATCCCCTCCTCAAAGATAAGGTTAACATGTATTTGATGACTTAGCGATTGACGTCCGGTTTCCGTTATTTCCGAGAAATCCCGGTTTTCCCAGTTGTACTGGAAGAATCCTGACTATTTCTTGTGCGCATTATTTTCTCCTTTTCGTATTTGTTTTATTGGGTGATAGATATTAGTATCCATTTTTAGCATGTTGTAAGAATTCTTTTTTGCTTATCATTTTTTCGTTGAAATTTTAAGAAGCAAAAAGGTCAAACAAAGAGGCAAGAATTAGAAAAAATGAATTTGGTGGCACGATTAGATGTGAAGACTTATTGCTCTCACAATTAAAATTAACTCTGCTAAATTGTTAAATTTCAATATGTTTTAATCATACATTCGTAACATACTGCGAAGAAAATGATTGTTTCGTTGATTATCATTGTTTTTATTTAAATATATCATTTAATAGTTTCAAGTAAGACAGGGAAATGGTTAAAGTTAGCAAGTAGTAATGCTAAGTAATCGTTAAGGTTGGAGTGAATGCCAAATGTATAGGAAAAGTATTTCTTACAAATCTCAGTTGATGAATATCTTACGTGGCATTTCCTTACTTCCAATTTCAATTGGAATTATAGAATTTTTATTTTTAGGACAGAGTGCATAGATCGGTCGTCTTTTGTGACGTGAGTTTTGCTCTGGGTGAAGGCATGCACTCATGCAAAGCAATCTTGGATATGAATCAAATCACTTCACGAATTTCTTTATTGCTGCTTCTGATGGTAACTTTTTTATGCAGTTAAAATATTATGAGAATGATTAATTCAACTAGAATGGAAGCTTTTAAAGCGAGATTAAGAAAGTGTACTGCAAAATAAAGTTGCTACTTATAGTTTGCCTTATATTGTTTCTTATTATAGTTCACTTTATTTCTTATAACGTTATTCAGTGGATCTCTATGAAAGATGGTCTGAAAGAATGAATAATATTTCTTCATATACATCGTTCTAATAAGTTTTATAATTCAGCTAAGATCTGAAGCAATATTGATTGATGGGACTCCTATTACTTGACTCATGTCATTCAATTTTAAATACTGTAGATTTATTCAGCTTTAAGTGATAAATATTAGAAAATTTCAGATGTGTTCGTTACCAGTAACAAAGAGTCATGTCGTTCCATTAAATGGAGCTAACATTGAATCAGTACTTCGTAAGTCCTTTCCAATATCCATTTTAATTCTGTTCTTATATTTTTTAACGTGAGTCATCGTTTATTTGTTTCTGTAAAATTGTTCCGATTACGAACGAGCAGCCTTTATTTATTGCGAGAATTTCCATATGTCGTTCTATTAAGTAGGTAACAAAAGTTAAAGCGGTTTAACTCAGTGATTGTGAACGTATGACTTCAGTTCCTCATTTTCAAGACTGCATCATACTGAAGCCTGAACAGTCACTCGATAAATTTGACTGATATTTTAAATTTACGAGCTTACTTTCTTGTGATGCCTTACATTTCAAAATGAAGAGTAAAACGATATTTGAAAACACTTCTAATACTTCACTTGTTTTAAGAAAAAATTTTTAGAAATATTTTGTTTAATTATACAGGTGATTATGACATTGTGTTTGTGAACTTTTACGCCGACTGGTGTCGGTTCTCACAGCATTTGATGCCAATATTTGAAGAAGCTAGTAATCGATTCAAGGTCAATCTTTCTACATTATTGTTGAATAGTGATATCAGTCTTTTTTACTGACAGTACTTCATTCCAAAAATTTTCTGTTCTAAATACTCTTAAAATGAACCATTAATCGAAAAATTACACTTTACCGTTCGATAATGGTCCATTGAAAGTATTTTACTAATACCAGAAAACTTCTGTGAAGGATTTTATATTTGAAATAAAAAAGTCAATATAACAGTGTCAGTTAAATTAAGTCGTATTGTAAAAATATGTTCTAGGATCGAGGAAATGCGATCGCTTGGGCTACTGTAGACTGTGACAGGGAAGGTAAGTTGTTCAAGATTTGATACAACTTGAGTGAAGTAATTATTTTAATA